TAAAGTCAAGTCTTTCCAGGTGTTTCTCATTGGCAGACCTATGTAACAATTTAAACTCTATCTGCAAAGGACTCTGGGAAGTTTTTAGATTTTTTAAATCTCTGCAGTACAGGAATGCACAGTTTTATTTCCATACTTAAATTCTAATAAAGCAACAACACCCAGTTGTTGTTCCTAATATAACTATTGCTTGATACAAACACCCTCCCTTCCATGCAAGCATGTGTTCATCCATTCATTCACAGTAGGTATCAGAAGTGGTGTTGATATGGATAGTGAATACACCAGATCTTGAATAGCAGCTACAACTGAAATTATAATCGAATTGTTCTTATATAATCTTCCATCACTCTCTAGGTTCAAGATACATCTGCATGAGCCAAAGAGGTAAGTTAAATGAGAATATCATAGATATTACTAGGGATTTTCTGGTAAATTGGCTCTTAGAAAATTAAAAAAAAATACCCTGATGTATACTATTTACCAATTGCCATGGTGTAAATACTCCCACCATGGCTGATGTCAAACTACCAACATGACACCACTAAAGATGAAGTTGTGAGGCAATGTTAAAAACTCATGATAACTATTCTCATGAATAAGTGATAATGATAAAAATTATCATGAGTCTGTACTAGCTGATTTCAGCCAACTGGTGGGTCACCAACCTTGCATTTTTCGAGTCTTCTGTGGTGGCACTAATCTCTGTAATTCTTCTAGAAATGTGACATTGGTTCTGATTTACTGCTTTGTTAGGAAGAAGATTCACTAGGAGTTTTCACTTGGTCCTTCTTATCCTGACAGCCTTTAATCAATAGGTCAGGAAGTCAATATGGAGAACCTGCCTATTGCTGAGTTATATATATATTGCAGCTATACATTCAGGACCTAGAGAGATAACCACAGATGGATATGAATCTATCTGGCCCGCTATGAAATGGTTTGGGCCCAAATGCTATTTATCTCCTTACTCCCATGAATTTCCGCTCAACCTATGACTAGGGACTAGCATTAGCTCAAAGCCAGTAATAAGCCCTGAGAAGTGTGATCTTTCTCTTTTCTCAGTGCGAAGTCATTCTACTAAATGACCACAATTCCCTTGGGGGAAAATTGGGAGGAAGATTTGCAATGTAAACTTGCAATGTCATACGCTACAGAGTACACAGTATTTCTAGACATCTGACTTTAGTGTGGGAATTTAGTGAAAAGTTATGACCCCCTGATTCTGCAATCAAATAGGACCTTAATGCAATGCACTGTATATTGTAGTCGTTGGTATCCATGGCCAATTAGCCACCAGCACAGGTCTCTGTGTGTCAGTCTATTCCGACTACTACTCTGGCCCTGTTGCCTTAAATGTCCCCTTCACTTGTGGTCCCTGTGTGTTACTACATAGTCAATGCTCGGATCTCATTACCCCCATTAAACTTCAGGAACATATGCAATGGTAGTATCTCCCTCATCATCCCCAGCGTATATGCTATGCTGCAGCTGTAGCACCTTTGAAGGAGGCTGGTGCTCTTCTCATCAAAGTATTTGTCTCTCTCTAGATAAAGGGAGCGTCCTCTAGTCCCTCCCAGGGAATATACTGCTATGATGTGTTTTATTGTGCTTCGCTTTATTACACTTGGTGGACATTGTGCTTTTACAAATGGAATGTTTGTGTCAACCCTGTGTTGAGCAAGTCTATCCACAACATTTTTCCAACAGTGTGTGCTCACTTCATGTCTCTGTGTCACATTTTGGTAATTCTCCCAATATTTCAAACTTTTCTTTATTGTTATATCTGTTATGGTGATCTGTGATCAGTGAGCTTTCATATTACTGTTGTAATTGTTTTGGGGCACCACGAACCGTGCTCATACAAGATGACGAACTTATTCGATAAGTGTTATGTGTGTTCTGATTGCTTCATCAATTGGCTGTCTCTCTCCCTCTCCTCTGGCGTCCCTATTCCCTGAGACACAACACGACTGAAATTAGGCCAATTAACAAACCTGCAATGGCCTCTAAGTGTTCAAGTGAAGAACACTTGCATATATCTCTCCCTTTAAATCAAAAGCTAGAAATGAGTAAGCGTAGTGAGGAGGGCATGTTGAAGCCAAGATAGGTCGAAAACTAGGCTTCTTGTGCCAGTTAACTGAGTTGTGAATGTAAAGGAAAAATTTTTAAGAAAATATAAAGTCCTATCCCAGTTAAGAAACGTTGGGAAAGTGAAAAAGCCTTATTGCTGACATGGAGAAAGTTCTACTGGTCCGCTTAGAAGATAAAACCAGACACAAAATTCCCTTAAGGCAAAACCTAATCCCAAGCAAGGCTGTAACTCTCTTCAATTGTCTAAAGGCAGAGAGAGGTGAGGAAGTTGCAGACGAAATGTTGGAAGCTAGCTGTGGTTGGTTCATGAGGTTTAAGGAAAAAAGCTGTCTTCATAACATAAAAGTGAAGGGTTAGGCATCAAGTGATGATGCCGAACTGCAGAAGCTCTGAAGCTCTGAAGCCAGGTATTGACTCCTTCTCTAGCTATGAAACTCTGATATGGTTTGGATTTGTGTCCCTGCCCAAATCTCATATTAAATTATAATCCCCAGTGTTGGAGGAGAGGCCTGGTGGAAGGTGATTGGATCATGGGGATGGTTTGGAAGCTGCAGCAAGTTATCCAGAAGATCTAGCTAAGATCGTGCAGGAAAGCAGCTACACTAAACAACAGATTTTCAACGGAGATGAAGCAGCTTTTCATTGGAAGAAGATGCCATCTAGGGGCTTGTATTAGTTCATCCTTGCACTGCTATAAAGACATACCTAAAACTGGATAATTTGTGAAGAAAAGTTTGATGCACATGTCCACAGGCTGTACAGGAAGCATGGCTGTCAGGAAGCTTACAATCATGGCGGAAGGCAAAGAGGAAGTAGGCACATCTTACATGGAGGCAGCAGGAGGAAGAGAGCAAAGAGGGAGATGCTGCACACTTCTAAATAAGCAGATGAGAACTCTGTCACAAGCCAGCATGAGGGGGATGGTGCTAAACCATAAGAAACCATTCCCGTGATCCAGTCACTTCCCACCAGGCCCCATACTGGGGATTACAATTTGACGTGAGATTTGGGCAGGGACACAAATCCAAACTGTATCAGGGTTTCATAGCTAGAGAGAAGGAGTCAATGCCTGGCTTCAGAGCTTCAAAGAATAGGCCGACTCTCTTGTTAGGGGATAATGCAGCTGGTGACTTTAAGTTGAAGCCAATGCTCATTTACCATTCCCAAAATCCTAGGATCTCTAAGAATTAGGCTAACTCCATCATCCTAAGCAAATTAACAGAGGAACAGAAAACCAAGCACCACATGTTCTCATTTATAAGTGGGAGCTAAACATGGAGTACACATGGGCACAAAGAAGGGAACAATAGACTCTGGGGCCGACTTGAAGGTGGAGGGTGAGAGGAGGGTGAAGGTTGACAAGCTGCCTATCTTGGAGGTATTCCTGTAGTTAAAGCATGGATAAGCCAGTCAATGTATCTAGCTCGCCAAATCTTTGGATGTCTTCTACATTATATCTAGGAATATTTTGGCATCTCAATTGCATTTGACTATTCTGGAATCCAGGCTTTAATTTATCTACAAAAGTAACCTTAGAACTTGTATTAGATTACTGAGTGTGTACATCAGCTCCAGAATCTCTGGTAAGCACAACCATACTGATAAATTTAGCCAGAATTAAAATTATGCTCTTCTCCCCTTCCCAAGCATGGTTAGAACATAATCCTATGCCTATTCTCCAGGTTTTAAATGGAGATACAAATTTGCATGTTTTGGCACGTAAGCATTGCCTGGGTATAACTTTACAAATGGTTCCCTGGGCACAGAGAGTGTTTCTAGTCATGGATCTGGAGGATGTGTGAAGCAGTGGGGGTGGAGAACAGTCATAGAGTCTTCCACCAGGTGGCAGGACCACCCTTGTTAAGCAGGGTAAGAGTAATTGTTTCTACTAGTGAGAGAGCTTGGCAGAGTTAGGGGTTAAGGGGCTTCAAAATTAACTGAGATCCCCTAAATGTCACCATTCTAATCTAACAGAATGGTCTTTCCTAATCATTGCCCTAACTTTCACATGTGAAATCGGGTGAGGCTATGAATTCAATCTGTGTTGTGAATCGGCAACCAATAAGGTAAGAGTCTGTGTCTAATTTTAGCAACATCAACTCACCAGCTCTAAGAGTTAAGATATTGTTTTAGGATAATAATAAGACATTCTTTTAGGACAATTATAGGAAAGCCTTGGTTCTCTGGCTATATTTTTAGCCACAAATTTAGAACCCTGAGCTTTTTATTATATTACTTTAAACTCTCCTTGTTGGTTAGAAGTAGCCAGCTTACCTGATAGACCTCATATTCTTCATGACTATTGAACTCTGCTGTGGCCTTCACCATTTGATCTGCCAAAGCCATTTCTTCCTTTTTTAAAAAAAAAAATTTAGTTACTTTTTATTGAAAACTGCACTGGACACTAAATGTCCACCTATTCAATAAACAAATACAGTAATGGTAACTCACACTAAAATAAAACATACTTCTGTTAGCCATTATTTTTCTGCTTGGGACAATTTTAAAGTTTTTCTTTTGTCACAAAAACAGGATTGTACCCTCACAAAGGCTCAAAATAGGCATCTTTTTAATCAAAAAGGCAATGATTCACAACAGATTATGAATTGAACCTGTAACTAGTTGATACAAATCTAATAGGATTTGTTACAATCAGTCACATCTAATACATCAGAAGTGTTCTTGAATAAAGTATCACATGAAAAGAAGACTTCATGAAAGTCTGAAAAGGTGGGTTTGTTCATAGACAAGCTGACAAGTTATTTCTATAAAAAGTGTTTCCTGAGACATAAGGAAACGCAGCATCATTCTTCTCAAACCCTTTTAGTTCAAGACTTTCCAGAGGATCTGAAACTGAGAAACTACATTTGAGTACAAATAGCTTATGAAACTTAATACTTTCTTTCTGCATCATCAGAGGGTTTTACAACCAACTTTCCCGCTCAGTATGTAGTTCTGAGAGACACGTTTCTCTGTATCCTGTACTGTCTTCAATCCTATGTGTGCAGGTGTCCACCACAGGCAAAGAGTTTTCTCCCCATTTTGTAGTAATGTGATCTTCCTATTAGCAAAAAGAGGTAACCAGCCCCTGTAGACTGAAGGGACTCAAGTCACAGGATGGGGATTTCCTCTTAATATTTTTTATTTGGATGTTTGAACTCTTGATGCAACATTCTAGTGCAGGGTGTTCAGGACCTGCTGTGCCCACGGGACTGATAAAGGAAAAAGCTCTATTTATGCTTTGTGATTTGATGGACAGATGAAAAACTTAACACGTAATAACCAAAGTTGGTCATTAAGAAATCACGTCTTCGTCTTTCAGCGCTTCTGTAAGCAGACGCATCTTCAGTTTTCTAGCTCTTGTAGTTTTAACACTGCAACATCAACAATGCATAGGTCCAGAATCAGTTAAAAAAAGACCATTAGATTCTTTTTCTCTTAGTTCATCTAATTTTCACTGTCTCTTGATCCCAAATAGCATCTGAATGATTACCTTTCAGCATTCTCTGCTATTGCTCCTTGGGGTGCTCTCAATTGTCCCCATGTTTTGTGGGCTGGTTGGGAGAGGGCGCTTAGGAAGGATGTGCCACTGTCAGGAGGTTGTGAGTCACTGGGATGCTTCCAGGGACAATCCCTTCCGTGGCTGCAGGGAATATGCCTGGAGCCATACCCATGATGCCTGGTGGATATCTGTATGTGGTACCATTCAACTCAGGATGAATTGTTTGCTGATTTACTACTGACCAAGGCACTGATGTGGCCAAGAATTCCTTCTTCACACAGTTTCTTAAACTTTCTGGGATGCGACCTGTGATGACACGACGGATCTCGGTGGCAGCCGCCTCCCTCATCTCTGTTTTTGCCTGCTCGCTGTACCAGCCAGTGTGAGGATCCTGCCCTCCTTGACGGCCTGTGCTAAGGCTTTCTCAACCACCAGGCCACCACGGGCTGTGTTCACAGGGAATACTCCCTGCCTCATCTGCTTTATAGTAAAGTCATTGATGAGGTGGTGGTTACGTTCGTTGAGATTGCAGTGCAAGGAGACCCAGTCACTCTGATCTCTGATATAGCAAGTCCTCTGGGTGTAGACCCTTTGAATGCCCAGGGACCACTCTATCCCATCCTGCAAGTTGGGGTCATAAAATATGATGCTGAATGCAAAGGCCTTGGCTTGAACTGCAACCACCTGCCCCTTGTGACGGAAGCTGATGAGGCCCACAGCGTCTCCCCACGGATGCAGATGGCTTCTGAGGCCACCTCGCAGATCTGCTCCACGCTCTGAACCCACGTGCCTTCCCGCAGTACCTGGCACAGCCACTTGTTCCTCCAGTACAGACTGAGGATGTTGCAGATGGTGTAGCTGGCTGTCTCTTCTGTGGCTGCGGACGGGATGTTGCACACAGGAATCCTGAGCTTGCAGGCGGCCTTGATGTCCATGTTGTCATGGCCACACCTATCCACACAATCACTCTCAAGGCCTTGAACTTTTCCAGGTCCTCCCTGGTTAGGGTGACGGTGGTACATCTTGGCAGCCACGGCTTCATTTAAAACCTTTTCGTGGTTCTCTTGCAAGGACTGTTTGTTACAGAAGGCCACAGTGGCCAGGTCCTTCAGGATAGGTGTCTCCATGGTGCAATCTCAGAGTGCCACAAGGGTCGGGAGTGCAGGAGTCCATTCATGATACCTTCACAAATTCTGTCCAATTGCTGTCTCTTGACTTTGTGCTTATCCACAAGGGCCATTCTTTATGGAACTTTGCAACTCTCAGATCAAAAGGCAAAGCAGTCCTCTAAGAACTTAGAGGAACTCGCAGGAGTCTGAGTGCATGTTGCTTGCAACTTGGTCGCCATTGTGCAGTCAATCAACGAACCTCTCCACGACCCCAGGTCTGGAGTGCCCATAGTCCGTGATGCCAGGGGGTTAGAGGCTGCTCTGGCCTGGGGCAGCCAGGTCCCTGGCCCTGCTCTGAGCCTTAGGAGCAAACTGGGGGCCTACCCTCGTGTCTGCATGGTCTTGAGGCTCCTCCCCTGCTGGGGGCCCCACAGACAGGAGGGAGGGGTGCTGGGCACCCCACTGGCATGAGGTGGCATTCCACTGGACCCCAGCCACTTCAGTCCTGGCTGGCCCACCCAGCCCATTTCTTTTAAAAAACTTCTTTATTTCTTGTGACCACAGATGATGCATTAGGACAAAAACTGCTCTATGAAGAGAGAATAAGAACATAACTCTAACATGAAGTATGGTGGCAAAGGAAACAAGAGAGTTCTATGGCATAATTTACAAAGGACTTTGATATGGTGTGGCTGTGTCCCCACCCAAATCTCAACTTGAATTGTAATTCCCATAATCCCCATGTGTCATGGGAGGGACCCAGTGGGAGGTAATTTAATCTTTGGGGCAGTTACCCTCCATACTGTTCCTCCTGATAGTGAGGTCTCATGAGATCTGAGAGTTTTATAAGAGGCCTTTCTGTGTTAGCTCAGCACTTTTCCCTCTGGCCACCATGTGAAGAACATGTCTGCTCCCCTTTCCTCCATGATTGTAAGTTTCCTGAGGCCTTCCTAGCCATGATGAACTGTGGGTCAATTAAACCTCTTTTCTTTATAAATTATCTAGTCTTGGGTATTTCTTCATAGCAGTCTGAGAATGGACTAATACATACTTTTAGAATAGAGATCTTTGTAGACTAAGAAAGCAGCCTAGTGGAAATGAAGAGCTAAGAGATGCAAAGAAGATGATGAGTAGTGGGACAGAAGGAGCAAGTTCTTGGAGGGGCCCTAACTTCAAGCAGGAAGAAGAGTTCAAATGCAGTAGTGATGCTGGGGAGTGATCTGGGGGCTGGATGTAAAAATATCATGAAATCAGAAAATGAGCTCCAATGAGTGGATGGATGGGGAAAATGAAAGCTGGGCCATTACATAGGAGACAGCTGTCAGGAGCCTGAGATCTCAGGGTCAGAGCAGCCCTGAAGGATGACAAGGTTCAGGTGTGGCCTCTCCTCTGGCTGGCTGAAGTGCTGAGGTGATCTGAGAACTGTAAGCTGATAAGTTATCAGCCTAGCTGTGAAAAGGTGACAGCAGGGCAAAGTGTGGGGATGGACCTCATGAGCAAACTGGGTGTACACAGTCTGGAGGAAGGTTGGGGTTGGAAGGAATCCTGTGGGCTGGCAGATAACACAGAGGAATGAGGGTGGGTGGGTGGGACATCAAAGGATGAGCTGGTTTTATGAGGAGGACATGCTGGTGGAAGGGCCTGGAAGTAGCTGTAAGTACTTCAATCTCCCTAACCTTCTGCTCTGGGGCAAAGGGCGACCTCTGTTAGTGAGCTTTGTGAGCACATGAACTCAATGAGGAATTAGGCGAAAAACAGCTCAGTGCCAACCACATAGTCAGCACTCAGTGAAGATCAGCTCGGATGGTTGTTAAAGAAAGGGATCAGTGGAAGGACTAAAAGATGGGCTGATGGAGTGACAGAAAGAGGGGAAGGTCTGAAAGTGATGAGGGGACAGGTAGGAGCAGTACCAGAAGTGGTGTCTTCCATCACAGGGCTGATGAAGGCCTCTCTCCCACCTTCTCTCCCCTTCCCTTCCCTTCCCTTCCCTCCCCTTCCCTCCCCTTTCTTCCCCTTCCCTCCCCACCTTCCCTCCCCTTTCTTCCCTAAGAGCTTTATGAAGACATAATGCACATACCATACAATTCACCCATTCCAACTGTACAGCTCAATGGTTTTTAGTGTATTAACATAATTGTGCAGCCATCACTAAATTGATTATAAAATATTACCACAACTTAAAAAAAACCCACCCCAACAATCCTCCTGTATCCTTCAGCCATCCCCCCTAATCCTAGGAAACCACAAATCTACTTTCTGTCTCTCTATTTTGGACATTTCACATAAAGGGAATCCAAATGCACGATAAGCAAATTTTTTCTTAAATCACATTTTAACTGGAGTACTACTTCGATGCAAAGAAATGAAGGACTAATGGTGAACTCTCAGGCGCTAGCAACAGGCATGTGCACTGGGAGTGGTGAGGAGGGGACGGGATTTGGAGATTCAAATGTTGCTTCCTCTATGCATAAGCTGCTCTGCTTGTTTTTCCTCTTGAAATGTGCTTAGAAGGGAAAATGTCAAAAGCCAACCAGCCACAGAATCTAGGAGAAGGCCAGTGAGTCACTGCAGCAGCTGAGGCCCTGCTGAGCATTGCACAAAGACGAGGCTGGGGAATCTCTGCCCTTGGGGTTTCCCTCTTGAGGGGGAGACCACTATGTGAACGTGTGGGTGGGAAGAGACCTAACAGTGCTGATGGGGAGCTGGCAGCTGCGGTGGAGAGATCGTGATGGTGGATCCCACAGCACGTTATTATTAACGAAAAGGATCAGAGGGAGGGACAGAAAACTACGTAAGGGATTGCACAGAGATCATCCTGGGGCCCTGACCTGTCCTTTAGTCCCCCCAGCTCCCCCATGGAACACAGTACCCTGTCCAGGGAGGGGTCAGGGCTCACCCGTTTCTCAAAGAGTGGGCGTAGACCGAGCAGCTCCTGAGATGACGTTGGGTGATTCACCCTGTGCCAGCCCCTAAATAACATTAAATCACCCACTAAAAATAGTTCTTTCCTTTTAAATTAAATTCTCTTTTAGACCTTTCAAATCAAAGAGAAATGATCAACTTGGTGCCTGCATGTTTCTAATACCTCACTAACATCTGCTCATTTATTTTTTATTTTTATTTTTGGGACAGGGTCTCACACGTCACCCAGGCTGGAGTGCAGTGGTGCAGTCTTGGCTCACTGCAGCCTCAACCTCTTGGGCTCAAGCTATCCTCCCACCTCAGCCTCCCAAGTAACTGGGACCACAGGCATGCACTGCACTGCAATGGGCAATTTACTTGTCTGTCTCTCTCACCAGACATGGAACCAGATAGCTGCCTTGTTTTTTTTTATGTGTTTAGCACCCAGCACGGTACCTGGCACAGAGAATCCTCAGTAATTATTTACTGAGTGTAACGAATGAATGAACAGGTGTCTTCCAGGTTTTTGTCCCTAATACACTGCATAGCTACCCTGAATACGCTTATTCATTCACTGCAATGCTTACTAAGCAGCTACTATGTGCAAGATGCCCTGCCCTTAATGGCTTTATTTCCAGTCAACAATCTAGTTATTGTGCAAAGCGATAGTCAAGATCATGTCAGGGGTGGGAGACCTGAGGTTAGATCCTGCCTCTGACACTCAATATATGGGGTGACTTGGACCATTTACCTTCTTGACTAAGAGTGTCCTCATGTGTAAAGTGGTTTTATAATATTAGCTTGTAGGATGGTCCTGAGTCACTTCAGTGAATGCTATTGCATGAATGAGAGAGTCAGAGTGAGTGAATGAATGAAGGAATGAATGACAATGGTCCTGATCAGGTGGGACACAGCCTGACTCCTCTCCCATGGCCAGGAAATCCAGAACAGGTATGAGAAATCCTAAGCCTTGAGCTTTGTTTAACCAGGCAAAATCGGAGCAAACTGGTGAAAGAAGGGAAAGCTAGAAAAATTCTCTCCTTCAGTGGACCCTGAGGCTGTGGCTGGACCCAAGCAGGGGCCCTTAAGCAGGTGAGCCACGGAACAGACCAGCTGCTCCCTGGACTGCTGAACGTTGCTGCGGGTACCCCTCCTCTAAAGGGATGTGGGCCATGTGATGTTGGCATGGTGACCAGTTAGCTGGTCCTCCCACCCCTGTCCTCTGCATCCTGAGATGACAAAGAGGCCCTGAGGAGTAGAATGGGCCCCTGACGGCTCCCCAGGCTCATGAATGGTAGGGAGAACCAGGTCCAAGAATGGAGGGGCCTGGCGCTAAACTCTCGCCATGGGAACAATGGAGCCGTTGCCCTGGCAACCAAGCAGGCCTCTCCCTGGGCCTCAAGGCTGAGTCTGGGAAGAGGTGTCCTAAGAAAGGGAGGTGGGAACGGAGGTGGGTGCGTCTGTTCTCAGCACACAAGGGCGGCAGGAGACCCCATTTCCAGGGAAGATCATCAGAGTCTCTGTTTGCCCATTCTCCAGAGCCACTGAGGAAGACCGGGGTGTGGAGACCTCATTGCAGTCTCTGTTGAGGATGTCCCTTCATGCCTACCCCTCCTCCCAGGCCTCCTGAGGGATAGTTCAGGGGTGGGGCTGTGAGATCAGGACACGGGGACTGATGGCAAGCGTGACGGGTCTAACCTTGGGGTTGTCCCGGAAACTCTACAACATGTGTGGATGCAGGTGGGGCGTGTAGAACTGGGTGGGGGGTGGGGGTGGGGTAGGGCTGCATTCTCCAAGCTGAGAGCAGACCCTTGCCTTAAGAGGCCCTGGAGGTTTTGTTAAAGGGCCAGCTTCTGGAGCAAGGCAGTCCTGGCTTCAGCTCTGGACTTCATCACTGGCTGCATGACCCAGGGGATGTCATTTCATTCCTTGGATTCCAAGTTTCCTTGGCTGTAAAGCAGAAATAATACCAGTCACAGTATGGTGGTGTTGAATAAAGAGGACAGCCCCTGTCAACACAGTGGTGGGTGGGTCGCTCAGTGTGCATTCACTTCCCCTCCCCACCCTCACCACACCTCTCGTTTCTCCCTCTGGGCACCTGTGGCTCGGAACCCTGGAGGGATTGCCCTGGCCTCGGTTTGTACATAAACTGCCCAGATACCCCATCCACACAAACTCACTTCCTTCTCCCTGCCAGCCTCCCCGTTGCTCCGTGACCTCCTGAGGAAGATGGCCTGTGAAGGTACCAGGCAGGACATGCTGGATCATGGTGCTGGAGTTTGTCTTTGAGAAGTG